CTCTCTCTCCTCTCTCTCTCTCTCTCTCACACACACACACACAAAAAAAAAAATAGAAATAAAAATAAAAAAATTAGAGAGATGGTTACATGCAGGAAACAAACAAACTCGACATGCAGTGGTGTGCATTGGCCCAAAGCCCCAGTCGCTGTGTATCCGGAAGTAAAACAGACGAAGGAAAATACAAGAAAAAAAAAAAAAAAAAAAAAAATTTACCTCAGACTGTGGGAAAGTCGCATTGCAGCCGCTGGTGTCCATGCACAGCAGCGCTCCAGTAGCAGAGAGATTTCCAAACGTCGACTCCTCAACCCTTCGTTGAAGACAAGAGAAACAGAAAAGATGCCCTTCTGCGCACTGGCATCACAACAACATAAAAGGGCATCCATCTTTACGAATTAGACCCCAGATGAGTACCCCAACAGCGAGGGGCCCTGTCGGCCAGAACTTAAATTCACGAGCAGCAATCCAAAAGGCAAATGTCGCATCCATCATGAAATGAAAAGTCGTTTTGAACCGGCTAGTCACAAAAGACTGACTCGTTCAGAAACAGGTCCTGAACTTCAATTCACTTAGTTAGGGTCTGTTCGGCACTGAGTCAAAGGCCACAGTCCCAGTCTAGTCATACTCCCAGTCAATGAGTCAGTCCTGATTCAGAGCAGGAGTACCAAAGAGACAGGCCCGATGGCCCAAAGCAGCAGCAGCAGACCATGGGAAAGGATACTGGGACACACACTTCACAACGAAAGGTACTGGGCAGGAGTCACAGGCACACTTGAGGCTGAATGCAGGCGACGCCAGAGTAGTACAGCACTATAAAACTGGCCAGGATACCATCTGGACAGATGCTCACTTCGCATGAGAGTGTGGAAGTGGCGTGGCACTTGTGCACTAGATGTGTGAGAGCTGCGCTAGGCTGAAGAGCAGCGCTATGTGAGAGGGAAGTGAGCTCTGGCTGGATGGAAAGAAGCCATAGCTGCGCCAGGGCTAGTTAGTGTATTCGTAGGGATAGCCAGTAGGAGACACGAGCGAGTAGTATTCAGAGTCGGTCCTCGTGTGATAGGGAGTGTGCGTGCATGATGAGTGAGAGTAGATCAGGACTATAGACAGACGGAAATAAGAGCGAGAGATGGAGGAAGAAGTGAGCTATGGTGACACCTACCTGTTGAGCGCCGTCGTTGACATTTGGCAGCTGCTGGTGCTGATGAGCCCCAGGCCTGGGAACTCGTGTTGCTTGAAGAAGACTCGTAACTCTGTTCGGCGCTGTACATTTTTGACCCTTGATATTCTCTCTTTAATCTGGGTTTGATAATTGAATTAGGCTTCCTGGTTCTCATTCATCTTCTATAATTGGGTTTTGTGTGAGACATCGCAATCTGTGAAAATCTGTGTGTATGCATGTGCTCTGACGCACTCCAGCAAGTGATGAACAGTCAGGTTCCTTGCAAACACCATGAACCCACAAAAAAAAAAAAAAAAAAAAAAGAAAGCAACACGACCACAAAGTCCAAAGTCTCAGAGAGGAGAAACAATACTGCAGTGAGCATAAAGGTAACGGAACGTAGGGGGCACTTCTCTTCTCTCAGGCCATATTCACACAAGGAACTTTTTTCCGTTAAGCTCTGTTAAAAGCCCTTGGTCGGCTAAGTCCTAGACACACTCTCCTACCCCCCCCCAACCCCAATTCTCTTGCCTCCTACTGCGCATAGTCCTAGCAACAGAGTGCGCCTTGTTGGGAGACACCTACTATCGGACCTCTAGCTCCTGTCCTCAACCCAGGTAGCCACTTTTTTTTTTTGCCCCCTTCTTCTTTATAAAAAGCCCCCCTTGATTGAAGTCCTGAGAATTAGGGGGGATTCTTTATAACAACCCCCCCCCCCCCCCCCCTCCTTAATTCTCAGGGGGCCTTTTTATAACAGTCACCTTCGGCACTCGGCCATGTGGTAGAGCCCCCTTAACCCCTAATTCTCAGGACTTCAATCAAGAATTCTGTCACAAAAAGATAACGAAAACAAAAAAAAAAAAAGATATTCCCACAGTGGGTGAATGAGCGAGCCAGCGAGAGAGCAGGACAGACAGACACACAGAGAGAGAGAGAGAGGGGGAGGGGGGGGAGGGGAGGAGGAAAGCGTGATTCACGCTTCATACCTGAACCATATCGCTGAAGGGATACTCCATGTAACAGCACCCACATTCGATCTCATCCTTTGCGACAGTGGGCTTTTGCTGATTTGCCCCTTCAACATCTTCCTCCTTCCCCCTCCGCCCCTCAACTACCTCTACCACCTCTTTTTCTTCAGCCTGTTGCCTGAACACCTCCAGCCTCGAGACGTCAATCACATGGGTAGCAGGAGGACGATGCACCTTATTGGCCGCGTTGGCCACGTGGCCTACCCCCTCCTCCTCCTCCTCCTCCTCC